CTGGTCAATTCTCGCAAGGAGCGGGCCAGCCAAATAAGAGGCCCGGATTCGGAATCCCTCTGGGGGTTCTATAGGGTGGTAGGTGCGATTTATACGGTTTAGGGTGTAGGGCCTAGAATTAGGGGAATGGAGAAGAACCTGCAAACTACTACATTATCTAGGGTTTAGGGCCTACGCCCGGGGATTTGAAAAGCTTTCGTCTCTAGGGGGAATTCCTCAGCCTCCACAGTAAATTCGAAACGCACAAGCCTGAATGCCTGAAACCCACGGAATGAGGATAAAGGGTTATATAGGGATAGATAGGGTTTAGGATTTAGGGTTTAGGGTTAAGGGTTTAGGATTTAGGGTTTAGTGTCATAGTCCCCCTTAAGTAGATAGGGTTTGGCTTCGTGTATATTATATTAAGATCCTCATATGCCTCATATTCTATCTAGTTAAGTGGGACGATATATAGGGATATATAGGGTAATGTTGAGTTTAGGGTTTAAGATTCACATGCCCTCAATCCTACCCCTGAACTACTGAAGCCTAGATGACTGAATGATCTGAGGATCTTGGTAAGCCCAGCCCCAGTAATAACGACACTATAGCTATCATATGGCTGAGACAGGATCCTAATTTGGGGAGTTGGAGTTACCAAAATCTTCTGATTACCTTAAGCCCGAAGCCCACTGCAGGATACGCTTTCAAAACATGGTTTAGGCTATGGCGGCTATATAAGGCCTAGAACAAAATACCAGAATACGGATAGGTACAGGACATGAACCGCGAAAAAAGGGGTTTCTTCATTATGGTAGCTTATTAAGGTCATTAGCAGCAACCCAACAAAACACGAAGACGTGAAACCCCTAAATCCTAGACCTTAGACCTTTAACCCACAAATAGCTCCATACATACCCTATATCTTGGGTACTGCCCCGCACTCTATAACAGTCTGCATTAGGGGTTAAGGGTTCGGGGTTTAGGGGCTATATTAGGGGCTGCAAATAACCATAGTAGAGATGTTATCCAACTGTTACAGAATGGGGGCAGTATATACCCAACCTAAAAACCTAAACCCTAAATCCGATCAGGGGGGCCCTGTGAGGTGCAGGATTTCCTCCACTGTACCTCAAAGCCTTTTCTGGGTTGCTTTTACCTTGCTATATTTGGGAAACCCTACTATTTACAGTACTATATATACCCATCATAGTAACTTAGTTTCAAAGTCCTTAACCTAAACCCTAAACCCCTAAACCCTAAACCCCTAAACCCCTCAAAACCAGCCTAAGCCCAGTGTTAACACAAAGTCCTTCGAGGTCGCGAAGCAATACGTATGCAAAGTGATTTCACCTCCTTGGTTCGTTTTACGGCGTTTAAAGGGGTTCCAATGGGCATCCCAAACAGGGGTTTAGGGTTTAGAGGTAAACAGGGAACCCCAAGAATATAGCAGGAGAATAGTAGGAATATACCTACCAGGGTCCGTATATTCCATTAAAATCCCAGTATATTCTTGAGGTGCCCTGTTTGCTGTTCCCATTAGGACCCTTTTAGTTTAGGGTGTAGGGTGCAGAACGGAATACCACGTGGAAAATGAAACCGCACCGAGAAACAGTCTAGCGTTTTGAAGGGTTGTGGGCCTAAGGGCTTTAGGGTTAAAGTTTCAATGCTGGGGTTTAGGGTTTAGTGTTCAGTCTTTAGGGTTAAAGTTTCAGTGTTCGAGGGGTGTACGGTTGATGGGTTAGGGTTCTACTTGGAATGGGCGGGGGGCTTTAGCAAGTATACTCATAACCTCATAACCCCCAGCAGCCACATGATCTACCTGGCTATTCCATATCAAATTAACCTTACGAAGTCTCATGACCCCCCAACGCTGTCTTATGATTAGCAGGATAATCTCCTCCCCCTAGTCAAAAAAAACTTGCCCCTGATTATACATATATATATATATCTATACATATATATATATATATGGGTACCAAATGCGGGGCAGTTTAGGGCCCTAAGCCCTAAACCTGACAAGAAGAAACGTTGACCAGGTTCTTCTCTGCCCCCAGAAAGGATTTGTATGGGGAATGCATACAGACCATAAAGGGCTTATAGAAGTTTCAGTTTTATAAGGATATGAAAAGTTTCGGGTTGAGGATAGCAGTAGCGCAACATCAAATTCTAAGGAACAACAAGGGCTTACACGAAGGGGTTATGTAATGTAGGGGCCTCAATAACTACCAGCGTGATTTGGAAGTCAATTTCAGATATCATCTACTAATGCACATAAAGAGTCTAGGACGACAACATTAATGGTTTAACTAGAGCTTTAAACCCTCAACCCCAGACCCTGAAACACTAAACCCTATACCCAAAAGAAGAAAGGCTATAACGCCAGTCATAAGCAATTAGTTGCTAAGTCCCCTGAACCTCCAAGTAGGGGTACAATCCTGAAGCCCTGAAGCTCGAAACCTTAAATACTTCGCCCTAAACTGACCACTCAGGAACCAAAAGCCCCAAACCCGAAGCACCGTCTTCTGTGGTCCAAGACTCAACCCGAGATAATCAAAACACACAGTTTAAGGGATTTAGGGTTTACGGGTTCAAGATTTCAGGTATTTATGGTTCAAGGGATCAACTGTTTAGGTTTCTGTTGCGTAAGGGATTTAGGTTTCAGAGGTTTACGGATACCAAGAAGCGACAATGCTCAAGATGATTCATGCAACCCCAAACCCTGAACCCTAAACCCTAATCGAGGTTTTGGGCTGCGCGGAGGGCAGGGTTCCATCTTTCTGGCCTTCACGGTACAGTAGGTTTTAAGGACTACCCTACCCCGAAAATCCTAAACCGTAAGCTCCAAAACCCTAAACCCCAATGACTCACCCTGCACCGCAATATCCCTAAGCTCTAAACCGCAAAGCCCCAAATCTAAAATCCTAAAACCCTAAGTCCACACTCCTAAAACCCCAAATCCCTGAGCCCTAATTCCTTGTCCCTAAACCCTAAGTCCTGAACCTTGGACCTTAAACCCTGAAACCACCCTGCCTGAACTCTGGAAATCCTGCCTCTTGGTGAATACAAAAAGGGTGGTTTGGGGTTTTAGGGTGTAGGGTCCTACATGATGATCAAGACCTGCTGTCCCAGACTCCTTGTATAAGAATGGTATGGGGTTTAGGGTTTAGGGGCCCAGATATACCTCAAAATGGTATTCGCGAGTTTTTGAGCCCCTGCATGCTGACGCCTCAAGAAGGACGGTAGCCGTGCCACCCACCCCAAAGAAATCCGTTGTCTGAACGATCAGCTCCACGACATCGAGGGTCCCGGACCTAGCAATGTCGAGGAGCGTCGCTACAGTGGCAGCCCTGAGCACCTCGCGCAACGGTCTTGCCAAGACAGCAACCATTGCTATCTGAAGCACATAGAGGCCCAGAAGTGGGCCAACGAGCCACTCAGCCAAGTCACGTGCAAGCCTGACATTTTTGAAGTGAAAGGCCTGTGGGGTTGATGACCAGAATGGAATTGAGCACAACCTGGAGGCTCCCAATATGAGATTCATCGTGCTCAACCTACCTCGGTAAAACAAGAACAAAACAACGTAAATTAGAACACAAGGTCCGGGTCCGTGATTCGCAGCGCTCTTGGAGGTAAATCTTACATCTCTTCGGGCTGGTAAAGTAGTGTAATACCCTTAGGTTTAGGGTTTAGGGGTTTGGGGCTTAGGGTTAAACCCTATACCTCAGGCTTAAACCTTACACATCCCCACATACCATGAGCCTGAACTCCGATTGCAGAGACTCCTCTAACCCTAAACCCTAAGCTAGGATAGGTTTGGGTGCCCTTTAAAAAGTACATCTTTACGGCTTCACAAGGATTATGTCGGGATTTCAGGTAACACAAACTAAGAAACATTTTCAAACCTACCCCAGCATACCCTAAACCCTGAACTAAGACTTTCGGGACTTAACGTGATGCAAGACTTCCTCCATCAACGCTCGTCACACAAGATGCGGCCCCTGAAAGTGCCTGGCAAAATCCTTGGAAAGAGGATAGGATTCTCGGGCTCAAGTTGGGCCCTGCCCCCACCCAAGTCTATAATAGGAATCATGACCTATAGTACAAACATTATCCAACTGTTATTGAGTGGGAGCAGTAGCAAAAAAGGCTTAAGCATTGAAGAAGGATGGTCTTTATAAACTCCGAGTTTCAAACAGCACCTCAAAGACACCCCCAACCTAAATCCGCAAAGCCCAGACCCTAAATCCGAAACCGTGCAGATTGGCGTCTCGTTTGCGAAGCAATGCGTATGCTAGGTAACTCCCTTCCCGTCTTGGGCCGTATGCGGAGATGCGAGAGGGTTTAGGGTTTTATGGAAAAAGCCAGACGGTGGGGAAACACTTGAGTTGGGTTGTGTAGAGGACTATAAAGCGTTCTTCGAGAGTCTGTCACTTCTGCTTCTTGGATACGTGGTGCTTTGGATGCGGGAAGGTAGGAGCATGTAGGTGCGCAAGCGACTCTGTGTGCAAAGGATTGCTCTCAATTCAATTCTCTGGCTCTCCGAACACGCAAAAAAAGGGCTGCCCTTCGACTGTTTGACTGCACCAGCTACCATAGCTATTGCATGCAGTAGGTCTGCGGGCCAACGCTGTCGAGATGAGGGAGTTATCCTCTCGGAAGGTCTTATCTTAGTAGATCAAAGCTGCCTTCACGGGCTTCAACACTTGCATAAACCTCCCCGAAATATGAGAGCTGCCGCCCTTTTGCGACTTGCGATTGCAATCTTAAGCAGCTGTCCCGTGTTCCCCAAACTAACATGAAACCCCATTCAGCGCGGTTTTGTTTCTGACAACAATCTTTACAGCGCCTGTTTGGGGTTCCATGTTTGGTTGAACGAAAGCAATCCCAGGCTTTGTTCAATCACAAGGGAATCTCACTTACCCCAAACCTTATGACTCGTATAATATGGATCATACAACTATCGTATGACTATTTAGGTGTTGGGGTGACTAAGCGCCTTCTGTTCTAGGATGCGTCGCTCAACCGATGTAGTCGTGGAGGTCAGCAAGGTCGTCCTCTGGGTCATAAACGTCATAAACACCATAATTGTAATCGAGGTAGTTGCCATAGCCATCACCATGGTCAGAAACCCAGGTCATGTGATCAACATCTGAGATGCCACAACCATGAGCCGGGCCTAAAACTTGATGGGTGTCGTCGAAGACCTTCTGAAAGTCGTCAGGGTTGTCCCTGCTGCAAGCTATCTGCCAAGCTGTCCTGCCTTGGTGATCGGTCTTGCATATGTCGGCCCCGCACGACATCAAGGCATAGGCAGTCCGTAGACCTTTCGCATACTCAACGGCTGCCAGCAGCGGCGTTGTGCCGGAATTGCTGGCCTTCTCCTTGTCGGCACCTGCAAGCAGCAAGGCAAACAACACCCCCACATGATCCCTTGCAGCAGCGAGCCACAAGGGTGTGCGCCCCAAGTTGTCTGCCCTGTCCACCTCTGCACGAGCAAGCAGCAAAGCCGAGACCATCTTGACGCGGCCAAACTCAGCTGCGGCAGAAAGTGGCGTAGCTCCCCAGCTGTCAACAGCTTCCAGATTGGCATGGGCATGCAAAAGAGCCCTGACCGTCTCGGCACTACCGGAGGCAGAACCTGTCCAGATTGGCGTTCTGCCCTGGTTGTCAGCCGCGTGTACGTCTGCACGCGCAAGCAGCAGGGTGGAGACGGTGTTCACGAAGCCCCGAGATGCTGCTGTCCACAGGGGCGTTCTCTGCCAGCCGTCAACTTGCTCCAGATTAGCACCTGCCGAAATCAAGCATGCCACGACCCTGGCGTGTCCGTTTTCTGCGGCAACCAGAAGCGGACTCCTTGACCAGTGATCGACCATCAGAGGATCTGCCCGGACTTCTACCAAGCACTGCGCAAGCTCTTCTGCTCCGCTCTCCGCAGCTCTATGCAGCGGGGTCGTGCCAGGCAGAACAAAGCGCCACCGTTCACTGCTGCAGGGTGCCCAGTTAGGGTCTGCGCCAGCTTCTGCCAGCAAGCGCAGAATGCCGCAAGGGCGTGTGATAGCCTCACGAACCTGGAATGAGGGTAGGCGTTGCTGGTTCGCTGTCGCTGCCCCGTCCACGACCAGCCATAAAGACGTGGCTACGAAATGTGGGCCATACCTGCCAGCATTGAAGCCGGCCACGCCTGCATTTACATCTGCAGAAGCATGCAACAAGACACGCGCAGTGTCCTCATGGTTTGAGGTTGAGGCAGCGGCAAGTGCTGTGCGCCCGCGTCTGTCTGCACCGTTCACATCTGCAGCTGCTGCTATGAGCATGTTGATGACTTCCGTGCGGCCTGATGAGGCTGCGATCACTGCTGCTAGCATACCATCGGAACCGAGTTCATCCGGATCTTGCAGCTCTCTCAGGATTTTGTGGAGCATCTGTTGATCCCGTGGACCGTTGTGCGCAGGTTCCCTTAACCAATGCAATGGACCAAAGCCGCCATAAGCGAATCCACTGATAACATCCCTGAGCTCGTCTGCGCGACCCCGGAGGCGCGGCAAAAGCACCAGCGTCCTGGGTTGCTGTTAAGGAACTTAGATTAAGTGACCATAATGATATGGGTATGTAGTAAATGATCTGGTTTCCTTCTTATAGTATCTTAACCTTCCTTAACTCTAAGTTCCCTTAACCCCTAGCAAGAACTAGAATTTCAGCTGGTTATGAGGGTTATAGATAACAGACATTCAAGTCTATTTTCAAGGAACTTCCAGTTAATGGCAACCCAGCTGCAGCTCCGCCGGAAGCACCAGATCTCCTAGCTTCCCCAGCAACCCCTAATAATAAGGGTACCCTCGTCCTAATATTCAGTTTTGAATAAGGAGACCCCAACTAAAAAAGGGAAAAACTGGGTTGCTGTTAAGGAACTTAAATTCAGTTACCATAATGGGTATATATATAGCAAATAATAGGGTTTCCCCAATATAGTAACTTAATTTGAGTTCCTGAATCCCTATATTCCCCCAGTTTCCATTTCATTTTGTAATTTTTTTCCATTTCATTCTCCATTATAGGGGGATAATATAATAACTCAAATTTACGTTCCTTAACAGCAACCTAGAAAAGGGTACTACTGGGGCACCTAGTCTCCCAAGCTTTGCTCATCCTGGAGCCGCTGGTTTTGGTAGGTCAACTGCTGCTGAAAAATCGAGTGGCCAAGCCTGCGCGGTTTAGGGTTTAGGGTTTAGGGTCTAGGGTTTAGGGTTCAGGGTTTAGGGCACTTTGGGGGTTCCCACCTTTTTTGGGGGGTCCCCGTAAGAAGGATTATAGTTTATTGGGGTCTATACTGGGGTCTAAACCCTAAACCCCTCTATTTTGGGAAACTACTACATGACAAAGCCAGAAGATGATAAACATTTTGTAGGGGCGGATCTATGTTGGTAATATAATCGGGTATTCTTACTGGGTTTATAATTTAGGGTTTAGGGTTTAGGGTTTAGGGTTATAAGGATAATGGAAGGGTTTAGGGTCAAGTTAATTACGGCTCCCACGCGAGTTATATATCACTATCGCATAATTATTATCTCGTGATCTAATTGTTGCTGGGCTAGGGCAAAAGCCTAGACACAAATGACACAAATAAAACCTGCATGGCCCTGGTCTGAGAAATGCTTCCTTATCAGAGGGGGCCATGAGCAATACAAGGCCTCAAAAGGATCCTAACCAAAAACCCTAAACCCTAAACCCTAAACCACGAGGCAACCTACCTTGTGGCCATTTTGGGGACAGGTATTTTAAACAGCTGCCATATGACAACAGTTCGGTCAAGTAGGGCTTAGGGTTTAGGTATTCTAGCTTAGTCTTTATTGATCTTAGGGTTCAACCCTAAACCCTAAATCCTAAATCCTCAAGGCTTCTTTTCCCTGAAGACCTTCGTGTTAGGCCACTGAACCCCCAAACTCTCAAGGTCCTCCACCTTGAACAACTGCCATAGGCAGTATAGCCCTAAACCCTAAACCCAGGCGTACATAGGGGATTATGTAGGGTTATATAGGGATTATAGAAGGGGTCTCATGCGACAAAAAGACCTGCTCACAGAGAAACGCTAAATCAAAAGGCCTGCGGTTCCGTGTGGTCAGGGGCTTTAGTCCTAGGATCCCTATAATATAATTAGGGTTTAGGATTGGGGGTTTAGGGTTTAGGGTTTGGGGTTCAGGGGTCTCAACCCCTAGTACGTGGCACTTAGGACCCCTACTAAGGGAATCCCAGAGGGTAGAGGGTCTGAGGTCCAAGCTACGTCCCAAGGAGTTTAAATAGCTTTCAGGTGGGTAGCTACCAGGTGAGTACCTTTACATAAGGCTTCTATATAAACCGGGACTAAATATTGGTTATGCAAGGCTTACATGGGGAAGCTGCCCACCTGAAACTTTTTTAGAGCTTAGGAAACTTCAGAGGATATAGGTTTACCCGTTTGGGTAATATTGGGAGTATATTGGGATAAAGGAGAATGGAAGGTATTATATTATAATAGGGTATATATTGAGGTTATATCGGGATAATGGAAAAGAAAATGGAAGCTAGAATATTGTAATAGGGTATATATTGGGATTATATTGGGTCACTGGAATAAAATGGAAGCTACTATTTAGGGTTTAGAGTAAGAGTTTAGGATTTAAACTAGGTCACAATACGAGGTTGATCCATGTTTGGACTACATATTATCCAAATTATGGTAACTTCACCGTGAAGCCTATACAACCCCTATAACCCGTGGAGAAAATCTCTTCAGCATGGTCAAGGTAGTTCTGATGTCCATTCCTGCTGCAATTTCCAAGCTTTCAGGCGCCTGACTTCATGTAGAGTTTGGGAATCGAGGGTTTCGGGATTTCGGTTTTCAAGCCCCGTTTGGGTCATCCACATCGGAAAAAGATCTACGCCTTTTGTCTAGGGCTGTATGATGATATCTGATGTAGCCGTAGCCTGGTGGTGCTGAGAGCCCTCCCGAACACAGTCATCTGTAATCATCTCTCTGAACTAAGCCTGTGTAAATGCCTCCGCATTAACCCAGCTAAAGCTGTAGCTCTTATGCGAGCGTCGGATTGTAGCGCACGTGAGTTCTGACTACCACAGCGGATCTAATCTTTTGAACGCCCTACTTCGGCGTTGAAATTCAAAAAAAAGCTGCTTGGGGCCATTTTAGCTGTCGTCTAAACTCCCAGCATCCCCCTGAATAACCCCTTTAATACTGCCCTGTATAATGCCTTTTAAGGAGTTTAGACTATAGCTCCTATGGATCAATCATGGGTTCACCTACTATCCCCCTTCCCAATATGACACCCGTAGGTTCATCCCTTGATGAAGATTATCTAGGGAGAATAAGGCTTAATTAAGGCTAATCAAGAAGGAATCTAGGGGGATAGTATAGAGGGGGGTAGTAGGGGAACCCTACACGCTAAACCCTAATTTGTGTAGTAGGGGAACCCTGAGCCCTGAACCCTAAGGGAACCTTGAACCCTGAACCCCAAACCCTAAGTTGGGGGTAGTAAGGGAACCCTGAACCCTAATTGGGGTAGTAGGGGAACCCATGAAACAAGGGCGCCTGTCTCTGATGCACTGCTTCAAGCCCTGGACAGCATTGCCGTGCAATTCCGACACCTGGTCGAACTCGTCAGCATTAAGATGCAGTACCTGGACACAGGGTTTAGGGTTTAGGGTTTAAGGTTTAGGGTTTTAGGTTTAGGATATAGGGCTTGGGGATAAGAGGAATCCAGGGCCATAATGTGAGTAACAAAAACACCCAATAGGCCCCTGCATAAACCCAGCTTCCATTTCATTTTCCATTTGATGCTCCATTATTTGGGTAGATCTCACCCTGCATACCCCCGTAGCATCACTGTATAAAGCTTAGGCCCCTAAATCCTAAGCCCTGAATCCTAAAGCCCAAACAGAGAGGCCGAGTCAAGCCCGCCCAAGAGACGGATCCGCACAGAAACGGGACACGTTCACGCATTTTGCTTGGGTTTTGGGGTCCAGGATCAGGGTTTTGGGGGCATGTCGCCTAAACCAAAACCCCCTAAGCTCTGAGCTCCAAAGCCCTAAGCCCGAAACTCAGAATCCAGAGCCCTAAACTCTAAACCCAAAAACCCTCAACTCTAAAACCCTAAACCCTAAAACACAACAACCCGATGGCCTCCTCGCCAGCTAAGCTGTTAATCCGCAGCACAGTGTCCGAAGACATCGACATGGCCCGGCCCTAATCGCGAAAACTCCATATGAGTAGTTTGTTTTGGTGGTTGAACCTTGTAAGATTATGTTCCTTTTTCTTATATCTATAGGACTATACCGCAAAAGAGGATATCATCTGACCCTACATCGGGGAATGTACCATCCCCGCCAAAAAAAAACTAAGATAACTACCAGGTCCATTGAAAGGGGCTACAGGGACATGCAGGGTTCATGGCTTAGGGGTGGGTACGTATATTACACATTGGCATGCCCCATCTTAGCCTTCCAATCCTTCCTAGTAGGGAAAAAGCCAAGCACTACATAGTTTTGTCCATGTCAAAAAATTTCTTATAGTTGGAACGCTATCCTAGGGTAGGTTTTGGGGCCCCACAACAATGAATTTTTCATTGCTCTATGCGGGCTTTTTAGGGATTATAGTCCCCCTTAAGTAGATGGAATATGGCTTTGGGTATATCATAATACAATCCCCATATACCCCATATTCTATCTACTTCAGGGGGACTATAACGGTATTAAGTATGAAGAGTTACAAACATATTTCCAAACCAGCCATACATACTCCAGGGCTGAGAAGTTAAACTCGGGTTTGGGGGTCAGTAATACTATACGAATACAAACACTTGCACTGAAATAAAACGGTAGTTTCCCAAAATAAAGGGACCCCAATATAGACCCCAAAATACTATAGTCCTTATTTTAGGGAGCAGAAATTGGAAATCGCTTTTAGGGAACTTGTAGCAAAGGTATTTTAGCATGGTTTGTGAGAGTGGATCGAACTTTTGGAAAAGCGCAATAGCAGGTAAGCAGCCATCGACAGAACACAATCCGCAAGCCCTTAACCGCTCCATACACCCTAAACCCTAAACCCTAAACCCTTGAAATTGTTAAGCCCCAAACCCAGGAAAAAATCGTCGGAAGAAAGCTTCCTTCCTTGTTGGTTTAGGGTTTAGGGTTTTGGGGTTTTGGGGTTTAGGGTTTAGGGCGGGCAAGATCCCAGAAGCTGGGGTAGGGTTTCGAGTTTAGCGTTTGGCTTAAATGAAAAATGGAAAAGGGTACTACTGGGGTACCTAGTGAACCATTGCCTGTGCCTTGTGGCTACAAATATGCTTGGCTGAGCGCTGTGCACCCTTTGCACCTAGTCATACAACAAATGCCAACAAGTTGCATGAACAGTGGACGATGTATGCTACAGTTCACTGTTTCTAGGCGGTGGGGTAATGAGTTGTAAGCTGCTGCCATATCTGTCTGAATAATGCTAACTTCTTCACATTTTGCTCCATGCAGCCCTGTTGCTAGCGCTGGCTGGGGGGTTGCTAGGGGGTTGCTAGGGGGTTACTAGGGGAGTACTAGGAAATTGCTGGGGGTCACAAGGGGTTACTGGAATTCAATGCCAGAGCATTTTTTGTGCAACGCCTCCGCACAAAACTGAGACTTCCAGTGTGGCGGCCTGTTGATTTTGTCCAGTGTTTGGCTCCTCCCCCAAAGCTACTCCCAAGTACCTATAAAGGGTAGGCTAACCCACAGCAGGCTATTCATTCTTAAAAAAAACACCCTAATTTGGGCAGTATAGGGGTTGCCGAAACATGGGGTGCCCCAACATAATTAGACCCTAACGACATACAACCTTTAGGTTCGGGGCTCCCTTGAAACTATATATTTTTGGATACTGAAGGTTCAAGGAGCTGAGAAGGGACACCTAAGCTAAACCCTACACATCCTCAGAACCTCCTGGTATAATCCCAGCTTCCGTTTCATGTTTCTGTAATCCGTTCCCCCTACTACTAGATGTTGTGGTATCTCGTATAGTATATAGGGAATCTTTAGCATTAGAGGAAGGCGTGGGGAGGTGGGGAGGCTATTATCTTTTTCATTTGAGCTAGTCTAAATCCTAGTTTCCCCCTTAATATCCCCTATAGTGGTCCCCTATACAACCCCTCTTGCAGGAGTTTAGGCTATAGCTCATTTGATAGTATGCAGCGGCCTTTGCTGGAAGCTTCTATCTGGAGTTCGCTGCAGCGCGCACGGGGCGGGTGTGACGCACACTCCGCTGCCATCAGCACTTCTGGGTTGCCAGAGCACGGTGTGTTAGACGTCGTGTTGGTAGGTATTGCAAAGAGGGCCCCTGGTTATATACCCCATAATCTAAACCCTACACCCTTGCCCTAAACCCTAAACCCTAACCCTTGCCCCATCATGCGACAAAACCTTAAACCGAACAACTTGGGAGGCTGATACACAGCGACCCCACTGTTGAACCGCCCACGAACACCTGGCCCATGGCAACAACGCCTTCACCCTGCCATGAACCCTAGGGTTAGGGTTTAGGGAGACCCCTACTACAGGCCCTAAATAATTACCGATATCATTTTGAGGTCCATTTGAGGTATCATAGACCATCATTCTATGAGGAATATGGAACCATAATATTGGTAATTATCTAAATATAACCCCAATATAACCCTATACTAACGCCGATATACTATAGTAGTTTTCATGGTCTTTCCATTATCCCCTATATATAATACTGGAAGGTTTTTTAGGCCCCAATATTACTCTAAGCCCTAGGCCCTGAGATCTGACGACATTCGTTTGGCACTCTTAGGCTCTAGCTCGAACCCTAAACTTGGCTACACTCCTGGAAACTAACATGGAAACCCAAAAAGGGCCCTATGAAGACTACAGTCCTTCTAAAAGGGGACTATATGGGTTTCCATGTTAGTTTGGGGGAGTGTATTTTATACAGTCAGAAACTGAAATGCAGCCAGTTTGTATAGAAACCACCATCTCAAGCAAAGGAGGTCGTGATAACCTGCTCAGCAAATCCTACACCTTGCACACCATAAACCGTAGACTGAAAGCTCTAAATTCTAAAGCTTGAACCCAAACGCTGAACCCTGAGCTCCAAACCTCAAACCCTCAACCCTAAACCCAGCCTCAAAACTAAACAGCCCTGGGCTCTCAAACCTAAATTCTGAACCTCAAATCCGAAACCCCAACCCAAGCCCCTTTGACTTCTTTATTCTTGAAACCTCTGGAATTCGTCTACAAGGGTCATTTTTACCTCAACTCCTCTGGAATCTGTTGACAAAAGTCATCTTTCGACAGGGGTCATTCTTACATTGTCCAGGGCCCCATGCCCTAAACCCTAAACCCTGAACCCCCTAAACCCTAAACCCTAAACCCTAAACCGTCTTTAGGGTTAGTCTTCCCATTTCCTGCTTTACGGTTCCTGCTTTAAGGATTCTGATGCAGGCTGTAGGGGTTTGGGCTTGAGGTCTCGGGCTTGGGATTTAGGCGAGGGGGTTTTGGGCCTGAGGATTCGGACTTTAGGGCTTAGGGTCAAAAGTGTAGGATTGCGGGGGCAGGGTTCAAAGGTTTTTGCTTGAGGGTTTGGACTTTAAGGTTTAGGGCTTCATGTTGAGGGTTCAAAGGTTTAAGCTTCAGGGCTTAAGCTTTGGGGTTGGGAACTCCAATTCTGCTACCTTCCGCTACCGTCATAAGTTCAACCCTGCATTGTAGTACGTAGCCATACGATGGCAACTTAAGCTTTGCAATGGCAACTCCGTTTAGCGCGTTCATGGTGCCTCAGTATGCTAGCCAAACCGCCAATTCTGGTATCATGGTCTATGCCCTGAACCCTGAGCATCTCATTCTCTCGCGTGGTTCCCAGGAGTGGGTGAGGAGATCAGCTACATGATATTCGGCAACTTTCTCTGTGTGTAGCTGCCTAAACATGACCGCGCAGCAATGTTTTCAAGCAACCCTAATCAAAAACCTTGAGACGCACCCTAAACTCTAAACCATAAAACCTTATTACCTAAACTGGGCTCTTGTTGAAATACTATTAAAAATGATCATTTTTCATCTATATTGGGCCCAGGTATACATAAAATGTAACATGCTAGTCAACAAGAACCCAGTAAACCCTAAACCCTAGTAAACCCTAAACCCTAAACCCTAAACCCTAAAAAACGATGCCCTACTCTCAGGTAAGGAGGCTTCCCCGGAAGAGCCGAAGTTGCAAGAAGCATCATGAAAATTTTGGAGCTTCTCAAAAGTACCCTGGGATCTGAATCTTTCTTTAGGGTTTAAGGGTTTTAGGGTTTTAGGGTTTAGGGTTTAGGGTTCAAGAATGCAAACTTTGGGCCCAGAAGGGATTGGGTTTAGTGTGTAAGGTTTCTACATTGGATTTTTGGATCCTCAGGGTAGGGCCCCGCCCTCCAAAACCAAGACTCTTTCCAAGGACCCACCAAAACTGGGACCCTGAATTTTGAGAAAGCTCCATTTCAGCCAGGACCTTTGTGGCTGCAAATTGAAAATTGTCATTGTCAAGTCCTGCGGCCCTCTCGAGCAATGACGATGAAGAGCTGTGTGTGGGCCGCTTAGGATTCGGTGCTAGGGCTTCGGGGCAAAGGTCACTGGTCCTTATTGATGCTGCCTAAACCCTGAACCCTTCTATGTTGTCCCTGCAAACTTCCTATTCGGAGCTTGTCGGGTTGAGCCATAGGGGTATATGTAATGGTTCATGGGACCTTTCAAGGAGGTTTGGGGTTGAGGGGATTTTGCGTTAAGGGTCCCCTCCCAAATGAAGCCTGAACGAGCTCTGGAAAAAACAACGAATCAACCGTTATTTGGGGTCTAGTCGGGGAAGGGCAGTAAGGGGAGATAGTATAGGGTCCCAGAATGTATAGCACTATAGAATGTCTTAGATACTATTGCATTCCTACAGATTAAACACTTTCCAGGACCGGAACTGCAAGCTACTATTTACATCCCAGATACCTTGCCTTGCGCGGGAAGCTGGTCCGAACCCTTCGGATGCGCTTTTGCTCCGAAACATGCGGGTCTGTATTTTTGGGGAAGACCCTATAGCAAGGATTCGAGTTTTATGAAATGTTAAGGTACACACCCTAAATCCGAAGTAGGCCCTGCATGGTGAAACCCAAGCCTTAAGCCCTAAATCCTAAGTAATTAAGCCCTAAATAGTTCATCTGAGCT